CCTTTTTTTATCCTTTTTTACAATGGGTGACTCACTCGGTAGTGGATATAGAAGGGATATATTCAGAAATGATGGTAATGTAAAAACAGAATATTAATAAAAAATTTTAGTTTTTAGAGAAAACCTTCAGACAGAATATTTATCATTTAAAAAGAAACCAAATTTTGGGAAATGAACTGTTCTGGCCCTTTTAACCCAGTTAAACCATTTCACTATTTTATTCAGGCTGTTGTCAAGTCTGATTTAAATTTAATTCAGAGGGGGAGTGAGTATTCACCAGAGAAATGTGGTTCCTGCCCTTTCAAACCGTTTTCTCCCCAAACCCCAGTTCAACCCCTTAGCAATCCCTAGTCAGTAAACGTTTTCTGAAAATTCCTCCCTTCCTTTCTTTCATGTTACTGTTTAACACAACTAACCGACCAAATAATTAATCAGAATAATTTTATCTGTTTCCTAAGATCTTTTGAGTGGTCTTCAACTTTTCTAAATTAGGATTTGTACTGATCAATTTGGAAGCTATTTGTTTCTCCTGGACAAATTAAGAAGTCATTTAATAATGATAACAGATTATATGCTTTCATCTGTGGGCATGGAGTCCTTAGTTACTTCCCTCCATAGACACAGTCAAGGTATTGGATTGTTTTTGCTCATGTTCTCGGGAATCTAAAAAATGGTTAACTCTTCAGCAGCACTTAAGAAAGGAAGGAGACAAATAAGGGAGAGAAAACGCTGCCATTGATGCAGCGGTTGTACGTGGCACAAGTTCCTTGGCAGATTTGGTAAGAAATGAGTGCCTTCAACAAAGTCTTAGCTCTGTACAAAACTAGAACTGAAGAAGAGAATCCTGATTCTTCCTGGGAAAGAATGCTGATCTTGTCTGTTACCATTCATCTTTTATAGGCAAAATCTAATCGTCTTTTCTTAATCATTATCTTTCTTGGCCATTCTACAGCATTTAATGCTGCTGACCACTCTGTCCTCCTGGGAACTCTAGAGTTTTTTGATATTAAAATATATCAAACCCCAGTCTTTCCTCTTATCTTCAGTCTCATACCACCGTCTTCTCATGGAATAATTCAAACTGAATGTCCCATAGAAATCTTAAACTCATGGTGGTATATTTAGAGAATCAGGTAAAAAATTACTTGAAATAATAAACAAATTTAGCAAAGTTGCAGGATATGAAATAAACCCATACAAATTACTGGCATTTTCTACATATTACTAACAAAGCATAGCAGTAAGAGATAGAAAGAGAAATTCTATTTAAAATTACTGTAGACATTATAAAATATTTGGCAATCTGCCTGCCAAAACAAAACCAGGAACTATATGAACACAATTACAAAACACTTCATACAAATAAAGTCACATCTAAATAATTGGAAAAATATCAGTTGTTCATGGGTAGGTTGAGCTAATGTAATAAAAATGACAGTTCTACCTAAATTAATTCACTTATTCAGTGCCATACCAATCAAACTACCAAAAATTATTTTCTAGAGCTAGAAAAAACAATAACAAAATTCATCTGGAAGAACAAAAAGTCCAGAATGTTAAGGGAACTAATGAAAAGAAATGGGAAGGAAGGTAGCCTAGCTGTACCAGATCTTAAATTGTATTATAAATCATAAATCATCAAAACTACTTGTTATTGGCTAAGAAATAGAGTGGTGGATCAGTGGAATAGGTTAGGTTTGCAAGACACAACTGTCAATGACTATACTCATCTTCTGTTTGATAAATCCAAACATTCCGCTTCTAGGATAAGAACTCACTATTTAACAAAGACTGCTGGGAAAACTGGAAAATAGTATGGCAGAAAGTGGACATAGACCAACCTCTTACACCCTATATCAAGATAACGTCAAAATGGGTACAGGATTTGGATATAAAGACATCTTAAACTCATGTCCAAAAGAGAGTTCATTATTTTCCCCCAAACCCACCCTTCTTCTAAATTTCTCTATCACTATTGAGGGTATCACCATCCTTTCAGTTTCTCAGGTTCACAACCTTGGAGTCATCCTTGACTCTTTACTTGCATTCATTCCACATATCTATTCTATCGCCAGAGATTATCTTTTTCTCTCTACAGTGTGTCTCATTTCCAAGCCTTTCTTACTGTTCACACAACCACCACCTTAGTGCAGGCGCTTGTCACCTCCAATGTAAATCATTACAGTGGCCTCTTCATTGGTCTCCTTGCCTCAAGTCTCTCCCCTACTCTAATTCATCCAGCATGCAGCTGCCAAAGTGTTTTTCCCTAAGTTCAGATCTGAACACATCACTCCTCTGCTAAGTAATCTCCAATAGCTTTCTATTGCCTCTGGCATTTAAAACACAGAGCCCAACATCTTTTTTTCAGTTTCATAATTTATCCCTCATTCCCTAGAATGTACTCCCTTCTCACCTTCACTTCTTAGAATTCCTAACTTCCTTCAGGATTCATCTCAAGTGCCAAATTCTATATGAAAGCTTTCCCCACCCCCACCCTCTACCCAGGTGCTAGTGCCCGTCCTCCTTTAAATGTTTTATATTTATCTTGTATATATTCTGTACAATATATGCTATAAGTGTACATAACATCTGTCATGACAGATTATATGCTTCTTGAGGGTAAGGATGATTTTTTTTTGTCTTTGAATCTCCACAGCCTAGCATGGTACCTGGAAATAGTAGATTCTTAATAAGTGCTTATTGATTGATATCTGGATTTCTTAGCTCCTTATCTCAGGACCTGCTGCCTGGAAAGTACAGCTGTTTTTCCATGTCTCTGAAACCACAATATCCTTGGACCTTCCCATATGATCTGAGATTAGAAGACTGAGTCACTATGATTCAATGTAAAGCACTTCTCTATGCTCTGAAAGCTATTTGTTTGAGGACTTTGTCTTACTGCATCTGCCTGTCTTTGGTTGATGCTTCTCCTATGGGCAGGACTGGCAAATCTGATACTAAGTTCCTAGTTTTAATCCTGGTTGACTGGTTTTCTCTTAAAGGGGAAATGGTAATCAGTACCGCACATGAAATAGAGATTTACAACTTGAAAACTAGAAAACTTCCCAAGTCATCCAGCTGTGAGGGGTAAGTCATCCATCTGTGATGAGAGCCTGCACCGGCATGGAAGCTATGTGAATGGAGAGAAGAAGCATATGAGATGTGGGAGGACTTGGTGATAGCGTAGGTATGTGGCAGGAGTGCCAGTGGATAGAGAATGACCCTGAGGTGATAGGACAAGGTGACTAGGAGAAAGGCATTGCCCTGGACAGTAAATAGAGAAGTTGGGAAGATGAGAAGAGAGAGGGTTTGGGGGGAAAGATAAGGAGTTCTGTTTTGGACAGGGTAAGTTTGATGTGTCCGTGGGATGTCCAGGTGGAGATATCCAGTAAGCAGTTGGTGATGCAAGACTGGAGATAGGAGAGAGGTTAGGGTTGGACACAGAGATCTCAAAATCATCTATGTAGAGATACAGTATACAGTTTGTGAGCCAAGCTAACTGTTTTTTCTTAAGCCCCATTTGAATTGTCTTAGGAAGATTCTGAACATCACCTGGCAGGATAAGGTACCAGACACTGAGGGCCTTTTCTCCAGCTAAACTGCCAACCATTCAAACTCTGCCGCAGAGAGCGCAACTCTGATGGGCTGGCCACTGGCCACATTATTCAAGTGCAAAACGTACGCTTGTCTAAAAGACAATGGAGAACTCACACAGGGCAAGCACTCACATGGTAGTCAGAAGAAGCGATACAAGGACACTCTCAAGGTCTCTCTTAAGAACTTTGGAATTGATTGCACAACATGGGAGATACTGGCATAGGACTGCCTAGCATGGGATGCCCGCATCAGAGAAGGCACTGTACTCCATGAGCAAAGCAGAATTGAAGTAGCTCAAAAGAATTGTGAGATGCACAAATTTGGAGAATCCACCACAAATGTTCACATGGACTGTTTGTGCCCAACCTGTGGTAGAACATTCCGAGCTCGTATTGGTCTGATCAGCCACAGTCGGACACACTGTACCTTGACCCTGACAGTGATGTCTTTTTGGTCCTCTTCCAGCACCAAGGACAACAACTAACCGACCATCTGGGCCAGTGCCAAAACCTAAATTCTAAGTGGGTCTGTTAAACACCAGCAGTATGTCTCCACTAACTAACCCATGATCTTTTCAAAGAAATGGGGGAGGGGAGTGAATATTCTCTGTTCTTACTCTTAAGGTTTGTACCCAAATTCTAAAGTTATGAAAAACACAGCAACCACAGCTCATAGACTGAAGTAGTTTGCTCTTTTTTCTCTTTCTCTAGTCACACATATACATAACACGGGCCTAAACATGGACACACACCTATGCAAGTATCTAGAGAGTGAACACAAGTGCATTCATATTTGCTTAGCGCTTAACTGTTTACAAACACCTCTGTTTTCCTAATGAAGAAATGGAATCTCAGAAAAGTGTAAATGCCTCTTGCATGCAGCTCCTGCCTGCTAGAGCCAGAGACTGAGCCCGTCTCCTGACTCCAGGGCCATTGCTTCTTGCATCACACCTTGCTGCAGCCTGCCCTGATGGAGGAAAGAAGTGACTCCAGCTCCAAATGGCCTTCCTTGGGATAATGCAGTGCAAGGGGTCAGTCAAAATGATTGGCTCAGGTGTGGTGTGATTGCGTGATTTTAAAAAAAAGTCATGCCTTTCAACTGAACAGACACTCAGGCCGCCTACGTATGGAAGGCATTTTGCTAGAGGAAATGTTATTCCCTGCCCTCAAGAAGTTTACATTTTAATAGGGAGGGATGAGGCATAGAAACAGTTATTTCCTTTCTAATGATCCTTAAGCTAATGTTAAAATTAGCCAGACAGCTAACTAAATGGTGACAAAAGGGAAGAAGGAGAGTTGGTTAGGAGAACCCTATCCAGTTTGTGTTTTAGGGTTGTTTTTGTTGGTGGTGGTGGTCGTGTTTTAATTTCCATGGGTAATCCAAAGGCTGATGCCTGGTCAGTATTTCTGATTCATACTTTTTATTCTGTAGAATGCAACAGTCCGGTCTTTTTCAAAGCTTAGAAGATGAGATTTCCTTTGTTTTCCCAAACCTGCTCTGAATGCTTTAATGATTATCCTTTTTTTCAAAGGGCCTCACTTTGCTGGAGTAAGACCATCTTAACATTTGAAGGCTGTTTTAACTTGAGGGCATTCTCAATCACACACTGTTCCCTGAAAGAAAAAAAGTGTTGAAAAATGAGGCCTGCTGTGTATTTGCAGCTTCTAACATTTGAGGATCTCGAAGTGTTAGAGAGACATTAATTAATCTAGCCCATCCGCCTTCAGAGAGGAAAGGCAGTTTTAATCAGACTGGGGTTGCAGTTGGCTCCACCACTTCCCAAATTGCACGTTTTCCCCACTTTGGTACAACATTCTTGGCATTTCTCTTAACTTTTCAGATGAACAAATGTCTGATGTGTTGTTTAGAAGACTTGACTTCCAAGTCTCCTCATCCCTGTCTCCACCTGTGCTTTGGCTGATGTCAGAGCCATAGGAGAGCTGCCTTGCTCAGGTTTTGTGGACTAGTTTATTTGTCCAAATGTAAAAATGTTCATTTTGATCCCGTGTAGTGAATATGACTTTCCTTCAGGGATCCGTCTGGGATATGGTTGGTAAATGGGGTGAGTGAGTTGAAAAAGCTGCTCAGAACTACTGTCACTACATGACTTTTACTTCAGCCAATTTCCTCATCTTCAGCATAGAGATAATAATGGCACTTATCTACCCGAAGGGGTTGTTTTTAAGAAAATTGATTTTTAGATAATTTATTTATAACAAATTTAGATAATTTAGGTATTATTTAGATAGAAAAAAATTGAATTTTTTGTTACTTCTAAGTTCAGGTTCCTCTCCCCAAAGAGCTTGTAATCTATTTCAGGGGAGGGGAGAGGCATGATTAGCATGGATAATATTATATAATACATATAATTACTATAATATGTAAATATATGCTATGATGTGATATGATACACAATATGATATAATCATATAACATAATGCTAAAATGTGTCATCCTTCCTAACTTATATACCATAAGAATTCTGGGAAGGAGATTCATGAGCATTGGAATGGTCAGAAGGCTCCACTGAAAGGGTAGAATCTGAGCTGAACTTGAAACATAGGGAGGCTTTGGAGAAGGCCTTAGAGCCTAGTGAAGAGCCTTTCTGGCAAGGAGAAATAACGAGTCAAAGCATGGATGCAGGAGTGAGTGTGGACTCTTGTCTGTTTCTAGATAGTAAGGATGGTATGTACAGTGGGAAATAAAGCTGTCCAGGTAGGAACAGGATCATATTATTATATAGCGTCTTGAAACCTGGGCAAATAAATTTAAGCTACCTTAGTAGGCAATAGGGAGCAAGTGAAAGTTCTTGAGCAGGGTTGCTACATGTTTAAGGAAGATGAGCCCATAGCAATGTGCAGGATAGATTTTTTGAGTGAGAATGTAATCTGGTAGTAAAGCTTAGCTACTGACTTTGCTGGTTTACCTTGGAGAGCTAAGAAAGACAGATTAGTGGGAGACTTCCACTTTTTCTTCCTCTTCCAATAGTGTCAAATCCACACTCACCATGTGCTGACCTTCTCTGAGGAAGTGGAATCTTTCTGGGAAGTGTTCTCCTTTCAGCAGTGCAGTTGGGCTTGCTTACTGCTTAATAGAACAGATTTGAGGGGTTTTTTTTTCTTCCCTGTACTCCTTCCTTTACTGCTCCCAGCCCCCAAGTTCCCAGTGCCCTGATTCTCTCTCAAGAAAAGAAAAACTAGGGGCAGCTAGGTGGCGCAGTGAATAAAGCACTGGCCCTGGATTCAGGAGGACTGGAGTTCAAATCCCGTGCCAGACACATAACACTTACTAGCTGTGTGACCCTAGGCAAGTCACTTAACCCCATTGCCTAACTAAAAAACACACACACACACACACACACACACACACACACACACACACGCACTATGCTCAGATGAAACTCTGATAGAGGAACCCTTCACTGAATATCTGTGGAGGGGGCAAATGGTGGCAAGCAAGCATTACCAAGAGATGCAGCCTGTTCACATACAATTAATTTGTGTTCTGGATAGCTCATTCTACTCCTAGAAAATGAAAAATAGAACCAAATAAAAGAAACCAAGTAAAAAAGGGAGTTTTTCCAAACCTGGTCGTGGGTCAGAATCACTTGTCATTTGGTCATAACCAGGAAGTAGGATACTTGAAAGTTAAAAGAAGCAAATATATTTACTTTGGACTGTCATATAAATTGTGCCAAATACAATATTGGGATGGCTCTTTGATGTGGATGATTTATAGGGCTGTTGTTTTCAATGGTGATATTAATTGATCTTTGCTTGCAGGTAGTTTAGTTTGGACTTTTTGACTGAAGACCATAATAGAGCATTTTAATTGTATGAGAGAGATACTAGTGGGTAATTGCTAGTATCTGCTTTGCAGCAATATTATAAGGATCAGATGAACTAACATAGGAAAAGTGCTTGACGTGAAAAGGTCATGTAAATGTCAGATATACCTCTTCCTCGCCTTTCCTTTAGTAATTCAGCTGGAAGTCACATAGTAGATACTTAATAAATATTTGCTGAGTTAAGTTGAATTTATTGAAGTAGCAAAAGAGTTTAGGTAAATAGATAAATCAAGGCCATTTTGTAATGAAAAGAGTTATTTCAACAAAGATCTGAGGTCTTTGAGGGAAATATTGGGAAACAGCCTGAGATTGCAAGTTTATTTATTTTTATCTCTACCCATTTGCAAGGTTAGAAAGTTTTGGGTCACTTGAAAAAGGATCTTTCTTTCTGCCCTTCATTTAAGTGTGGGGTTGAGCTGGATTCATATGAGAAATTATTCTACTGTTAATTTAGATAGCCTGGACTAACTTAGCACAAACCATTTAAATTGGTTTAGCCCTTTTTATTGGGGAAGATAATAATGAATTATTCATTTGGCTTTCTGAGTAGACAATTTAGTTTATCTAGGCACTAGTCACACTTGTTAATGATTGACTTTCCTTCACTTAGAGTTGGCAGAGCCCCCCAGAATGAAGCATTGGCCTAGTCTGTTGTGGATCCAGCTTTCCCAGAGCTGCCTGTGCTAAAGGAAATGCCAGGCTGCAAAAACTTGAGTTTCTGCTCTTTAAATGTTTGTCTTGTATCTAGGTTTGTTGTGGGAGACGTGGAGAGGAGGGTGGGTAGAGTAGACAGGTGCTTCTTCAATTGCAGGGTATCTGCCCACAGTTTAAGAAGTGCTGAAGTCATGCGTGGAAAAAGTTTAAGAAGCCCTGGACTAGGCAGGGTCTAGCTCTCCAGGTCTCTCCTCATCCCCTGGTTTTCTGGTTATCTTCTGAGCACCACACTTCTCCTCCCACTTCTCCTTCATCACTCTCTTTCAAAATCTTAATGCTCCTGCCAAACTGGTCCCCTTTTTGTTCTTTGAGCTTCTATGACTTGCCTTCATGCCTGTCCTGCAGCCCTGGAATGCGCACCATTCTCACCTCCACCTGTCAGGAATGTTAACTTCCCTCAAGGCTTAAGTCAAAGACTGCCTCCTTCAGAAAGCCTTTCCATAATGCTTTCTCCCTCCCCAAACCATCCTGTATTTATTTATCTTTATAAGTATATCTAATATTGATATGATGGAAAGACAGCTGGATTTGTAGTCAGCTGCTTGATTGACGACCAATTGAGTGACAACATGTCTAGCCCTCTCTCATTAACTGGTCACAGACCATGTTTCAGCCTGCTGCTGGCTAACCCTTCGCCCTCTTCCTCAGGATACAGGAATCCAATGGAAAGGGCATGTCAAGTGACTCAGCACCACCACTCCTCCATGGGTACCTGTTGTTTTCTCCCTGTCAGAATGTCAGAGTAAAGACTCTCTGCCTTGTGTTTCTGTTGGTATCACCAAGGCTTAGCACCATGCTTGGCACAGAGTGAGTATATAATAAATGCTTTCACGTTCATTCAGAGACCTGGATTCAAATTCTACTTTACTAGCTGTATGACCATGGGCAAGTCACTTAATTGTTTTATTCTGAATGTCAGTCACTTTATCTGTAAGATGAGGAAAATAATACCTGGAGAGCCTACTGCTAGTAAAGATCAAATGAAGGAAAATGTTTTGCCAAGTTTAAAGCATAATCCCACTCCCAGCTTTAAGGTTCCCCACAAGAAGTACCATATTTCCTCTTATAAAGCTCTTTTCCTTCAAAGATGATTGAAGAAGGATTTATTTTGCATTCTGGCATTTAAAAACATTAGCAAGGTATTTCAAACATTTGAACAATGTCTGGTTTGTAGTGTTAGAGGAAATGAGATGAAGCCCAGCCTATAATAGAGGCTCTCAGGTCGCTGTTTTCATCTCTAGCTTCATCTACATTCTCTCTGTCTCCCCCTTCCCCTTTTCTGTCTCAACCATTGGTACTGAAAGACACATCATTCATCTGAAATGAAAAAGACTTGTAAAACTGAAGACCTTGTCACCAGAAATAAAATGAACATGACATTTTCCCCCCCTGAGTGTTCAGTTTTCTTACAAGTTTCTGGTTTCCTGTATTTCAGGATGTGATGTTCCGGGTTGGGTATTTAAATCTAAAGGAAGCTGGTATAGCACTTCTGTGGTTCTAGTAATGGTATTCATGGGAATAACTGATAATCACAATTACTATTATTGCTTATTATCTCCAAGCTACCTGCAACCAAAGGCTTTCAAAATATAAAGACCTAGCAGAGGAGAGGAGGATCATGGGAGAGCAGAATGAGGTACCTGACATCTCTCTTGTCCAATCTGCTCCTAGAGTTGTACCAAGCATGTATTTAGTGAAAACATGGAGAGTGATTTCACATCCTGATACCTTTATTCAGTTACAGAAAGCATTCATTTTTTTTCTATCCATGGAACAGCCTGCAGAACATTAGTTATAAAAGAATAAGAGTAGAATAGTGACTTGTCCCAGGACAAGAGCAGTAATTCCATTTGTATTTTGTGTTGTTTGGAAGCACCTCTCCCCACCTTCTCTCACCTGTCCGACTCGGATCTGGCAGCATTCCTATGAGGCAGGGAAGGTAAATGTTTCCCACTTTACTAATGAGGAGACAGGTGTCTAAGTGGGGTTGGTGGTTCACAGCTGCACAGCTTGCCAGTATCATCGAGACTAGAACCCAGATAGCTTCATTTGTAATCTAGTGTCCTTTCTTGGAATTGAAGGAATTTACCAGTGGATTACCAGTGGATTAAAGTAGGAAATGGGAAAACCTCAATGGCTGATGTCATGGGTGGTTAATTAATAATTCCATTTAATATCAGTTTGTTAATAGGCCTACTCTGTGCAAAGCACTGCTTCTCTGTAGAGAATGTCAAGAACTAGATGCTCATCTCTGTCCTCGGAGGTAGGAATCATAGGATGATGTATTGAGAGCTGGAGGGGACCTGAGAGGACACCCCCACCCCACCCCACCCTCAAATCACTTGGTAAGTGAGGGGCTGAAGCAGAATTTAAACCTAGGTCCTCTGGCGAGAAATCCAGCTTGCTTTTCTGGCTCGTTTTGCAAGCTAACTGGAAACTAAGTATGAGAAGAGGTAAAATCAAAGAGCAGAGAGGATATAGCAAGATGACGTTTTCTGGAGGGAATCAAGGAAGACTTGGGTCAAGTGGCACGTGAGCTTAGTTTTTCAGGATGAATAGAATTTTGACAGGCGTCGGTGATGGCAGGACTTTCTTTCCAGTCTCAGAGGTGAGATTCCAAGCTGGTTCTGTCCTTGCTGCAAACCTAGGCTTTTTCCTACTGCTCCATATTGGAGTCAACATTTATGTAGATAAATACAGGACGAACTGAGGAAACAGTAAGGGGATGAGGAGGTGCTTCTTGCAGCTGGTGAGTTCATTGGTCATCTGAGGTTAGGCTGAATCTACCAAAGTGTATATTATATGTATACTTTTAAAGCCTTCCACCTTGAAGCAAACTCTCTTAAATCCCCTCAAAAATAAACAGTTACCTTTCAGTGCAAAAAAATAAAAAAGAAGACCTTATAAAGCTAGCGCCTCAAACTGCTCTCTCCAGATGAATCAGAAACAACAACTCAGTTCATAACTGGGTCAGTCGCAACATAGCCAGAGCCTGCCAAGTTAGCAGGCGTGTGTCCTGGCTGAGTTAAGACACCAGGACAGTCTTGGTCTAACTGGGTTGCATGTGTTTAGACCTTGTGTGCTGAGATAACTCTGGGTGGCTTCGGATAACTTTGTTTCTTAACTGCAAAGGAGTGTCTGCCGCCTGATAAGTGTTTATCCATGAAATAGCTACATGGTTTATGTCTTATGGTAGAAAGGTTTTTAGATTTCCTTAAGCAAGAGAAACAGCAAGGGCATTGTCTTGGTTACCTCCCTGCAGTCAAACACCAGTTCGGGCTTTTTTTTTTTCTGCCCTTCTTTGCTTCCTGCTGTAAGCCCCTAATCTCATCCACTCATATGTTGTGGCTGCAGTAATTTCAAAAACAAAACAACAAGAGACCCTACCCTGTCCAGTGGTCAGAGGTCTGCCTTGGCAGAATGAGCCCTATGGACCCACTTGGCAAATCACTGGTTTGTTCCATGCTGTCCTTGCCCTCCCTTAATGTGAGTAATCAGGAGATACCCGTGTGGCACCCTGATGATGAAACCCCCAGTGTTGTTTGGATCACTTTGCTTGTGTCTCTCAACAGGCAGGGTGTTGAAGTCCTTACCTGATGACTGTGAAACACCATGAAAGAAGCTTGTCTCCAAGCAGACTTGGCGTCAGCTTTGACCCACCCTTCCCTTCACCTTCCACAAACTCTCGTTTGCCAGATCCTGTTGGTTCTCACCTCCACGCCTTTTATTCTGCCACCACTCATAACCACCCTAATTCAAAACTCTCACCTTGAGTCTTAGAATAGCTTTGTATCAAGGGTTGCGGCTACCTCTTGTCTCGCCCTTTTCCAGTCTGTCCTTCCCAAAGCTGCAGAAGGAATCTTCAGTCAGTCAATCAGTATTTAAGTACCTGCTTTGTGCTTGGTACTGTGTCAGGTACTGGGGATACAGAACCAGAAGTGAGGCAGTTCCTACCTCAGGAACTTACATTCTACAGTGTTGTCTTCTTGAAAGTCAGGCCCTGTCACTTTCCTATCCTAAACCCTTCCATGGTTGCTATAGGATAAACTATAACCTTCTTTGTCTGTCCTTCTGATTAAGTCCCTCCACAGTTTCGCTCCAACCTACCTGCGTTTCCTGGCTTATTTTGCATTGCTCCTTTCTTTCACACATGCTGTGTTCTGGACAAACTTGACTGTTGTGTGTGTGTGTTGTGGAGCTCATCCTGTACTCCTGCTTCCATGTCCAGGAGACACAGGCTGTCCTTCCCGTATTTTAATCTCTCTCCCACCTATCTTTGCCCATTTTTCAGTTTCATTTCAGTAAACGTTTATTAAGCGCCTACTCTGTGACAGGCATTTTGCTAAGAGCTAGAGATAAAAAAAAAAGAGGCAAAAGACACTCCCTGCTGTCAAGGAGCTTACAGTTTAATGAGGGAGAAAACATGACAACAAATACATACAAAGCAAGCTATATACAAGATAAATAGGAGATAATTATCAGAGGGAAGGCACTGGAATTGAGAGGGATTGGAGAAGGCTTCCTCTAGAAGGTGGGATTTCAGTGGGACTTAAATGGAGCCAGGGAGGTCAGTAATGGGAGTGGAGGAGGGAGAGCATTCCAGGCCTGGGGAACAGCCAGAGAGAAGGCCCAAAGCCACAAGATGGAGGGTCTTAAATCCTTTTCTTTCCTCAGTGCTCAGATCACATTCCCACTTCTTCAACTAAAGTGGTTACTTGCTGTTTCATTTTCGTAGGGTACTTTGCTGAGCTCTGTTCTTTACATTTATCACATTCTCTTCATGTTATGTTTATCTGTGTGTGCGTTATCTCCTCACACTGCCCCACCTCCCCCCCCAGATCTTCATTTTTCAGCTTTATATTCCTAGTACCTTACACATGGTGAATATTTAATGAGTACTTCTTGAATTCTTCACATTGAATTTCGTTGATTAACTTAGGCATTTTGTCTTAGAGGCAGAGAACTTTCAAGTGATAATGGACCTCAGAACACATTTAGTTCCATTTCCTCCATGTACAGATGAGAGGAAAATTTCACACAGCTATTGAGTAATAGATAATGCTGTGAGCCAAAGAGCTCAGCTCTCCTGGTCCTTATCAGGGTCTGAGGGCCTGTAAGGCGAAGTTATTGAGAAAGGTTTTTTTTTTAAATAACATCTCAGGATATTATTCTGCATTACAGTTTGCAATAAGTGAAGTAGGTAGTGTACATATAATTATTCTCATTTTGCATGTGAGGTAAATAAGTCTCAGTGAGGTGATTTGCCCTGCTACGTAAAAAGTTGGAATTGGGATTCAGATCTAGACCTCGTGTTTCACATCTAGCATTCCTTCCACTGCCCAGTAGTCTTGACTGAGCAGGATTAAGCCCTAGATTTTGCATTTAAAAGAAATCATCTTGAATAAGGCTATGTGAGATGAACCCCTTGACGCTGATTTTAAGAAACCTCTGATGCCTGAATATAAGTACGTATCAACCTAATAATAGGCACAATATTGAAGTCTATTTTCAAATACAGTATGGCCTAAAATAATTAGCTTGTTGGGATGATACATGCAAAGCTGAACAAAATCAGAACTGTATTCGATGCTAAGTTTTGCAACTTTGTAACCCTCAATCCAGAGGAATGTGAGAATGCTTCTTCATCTTGCCTAGAGCATTCAATTTTGCTGTTAGTTATAAGCCATCCTGCCTAGTAACAGGGAAGATACTGTCTCCATAAATTATGATGTGGAGCAAAGATATTAAGGAGGAAATTTCCATTAAGAAAATAACAGTGAAAGAAGAACCAAGAAGAAATTCAAACCCCAGCTCCAGTTACTCTGGCCAAATACCATTTGCATCCCATGCTAACCAAAGATTAGAAAAGGGTCAGGAAAGCTGATATGATAGAACAGAGGGCCACAGTGTGAATATTTTTTTTCTTGTTCCATTCCAATATCAACTTGAATTTCAGTTTTATAAGATCAACCATTCAGAGCCAGGCCGAACTCTTGGCTAATTTGCAGTGTCTCCATTTGTATTGACAATAGGATTATTTTTGGAAGGCGGGGTGTTGACACACAGTATGTGTTGGTTATGCAGCAGAATTGGCGTCTTGAAGAACTTTTGAGAATATTACCCCACCCCCGATAAAGAGAAAATAGGACTTTATAGAAATTAATTACTTTGGGCTGAGTCCAGATCTCAGAAGTGTGGTGTGTGCTAGAGCTGCCTTGGAGGGGGTGGGGGTTGGAGGAGACCGTTATCTTCGCAAGTGTAGCAGGCAGGTTTTCTGAAGGACATTCTGTTCCTAGGAAATTTTAAATCTTCACCCAAGCAACATTTACTTGTTTCCTGTCTGTATTTTGTGGCTAAAATGTTGCTACAAAATTAGCTAAATGAAATTAAGTTTCTGCAAATATTATCCTCCTGCTTTTTATCTTGCACTGAGGGTGTTAATAGATAGGGCTTTGGTACTTCGCAGAGTGTCCTCACCACCAATCTAAACGGTCAGTCATTCCATCCCCTCCAGTAGAGCACATGGAGTACGTTTCTACTTTCCTTATCTCATCACTGAATGAGAACTGTGGTTGACTTTTCTCTTTCCAATAGGAGAGGTGAACACTTAGGAAGAGGAGCTAGAGCAGGGAATCTGAATCATTTTGTTCCTCTCTAGTTGTGTCTAGGTAGTGTGGTCAAATAGAAAGAGCCCTAGACCGAAGGTGGGAGTCAAACCTTAGTTCCAGCTGGCTGGGTGACTCTGGACAAGTCTCTGAACTGCTCAAGCTCTACATTTCCTTTTTTGGAGATAGGGATGATTATTCCTGACCTACCTACCTACCTTAAAGGGCTGTTGTGAGGATCCAGTGAAGACTTGGACTGGTGTGATAGTGTTTTGTACCTTGCAAACTGCCATCCAAGTGTCAGTTTTAATTGGCATCAGATCTCAAAGGGCCCTTAGAGGTCATACAGTGTCCAGTTCCCCCTTATACAAAGAGGGAAATGAGGCCCAGAGAGGATCTGTGTTTTGCCCAAGGTCACACTGAGAATTAGTGGCAATAAAACTTTTAAACTACTCCAATTCCAACAGTGTAGGGAACTCCCAGTAAGGAACTAAGTTGCCTGGGACACTGAGAGGTGCAGTGATTGGCCCAGTCATTTTGTGTCAGAGGTTAGATTCAACCAGGTCTTACTGACTCTGAGACCATCTCTGCATCTACTAACTACTGTGCTCTGCTAGTCACTAACAACATCATCATCATTATTATTCTCAATAGTTTTTTGATGTCTTCCTATCCCATAGCTATGTTCCAGGGACTACAGTGATTTGCTTCGTGTGTATCTGAATCTTTGCTTTAAAATTCTATTTTGTCTTTTGTTAGGTTCAATTTAACTTGGAAGTTATTTGATCTCTTAAGGAAATTCTCGAAGGAAAATTAACTTCATTTGGCTTTCATTTTTAAACACACATTAAATGCTGCATTTGGGCAGTAAAGAATTTCACAAAGTTAAGCAGCCATAATTAGAAACTGTGCCCTAGCAATGTGAGCAATCACCATGTTCTTGGTTTTTTGTTTTGCCTCTGATCACAGTGAAAAGTCAGTCACAAATTCACAACTATCACAACACCAGCAAGGATCAGTAACTGATCAGTAACTGATAACTATGTTGACTGGTGTGAATCTTGACCATTCTCCCTGCCTCCCATAACCTCTGGAATACATCAGTATTAGTGGGAGAAAATGAATTACTTTGCTTTGTCAACATACACTCTCTTTCCCTCCAGCTTGACCAGATATCTCTGGGGGACAGCTGCACCAGCATTTCTGCAGGATAGTTGTGTCAGACTTTGATGTGGCTGAGAGGGGTGGTCCGTAATATGGGCAGAGCATTCTGAACCTGCTTTGGCATTTGGCCCTCACTCCCCATGTAACCTTTATAGAGCCTGGCAGTAGATACCTTAGACATTTTGCCCTCTTGTTACATCCCATTTATAATAATACTGCCTCACACAACAAAATCTCCAGTGCCTTTATCTCAGAAAATTTTCAGCTTCATGAAAAGTCAGATTGCCAAGGGATTTGAGCTCTGGACTATATCCAGTAGTAGTCATGTCTACCAAATTTCCTGCACAGTGTTATGTATGGGGAGCCTAAACGTTTAATGGGCAAAGACTTTGGTGATGAGCTCATGTAATTGTCTATTTGTCTTTGATTTTTATCACATAAGTTAGGTCATTGCAAGCCCAATCAGGCTGTATTAGCATTTTTGGGTTAGTAGAGAAATGAGAACTCAGATAGAGGTCCTTGGAAAAGTTAGCTCTAAAAGTTAGCTATTACTTCTTTTCTTACCAGAAGGAAGGTACCCTAGTAGAATTTGATGAGATTTTAGCAGTCATAAAGATAGAGAATTTGTATTAGGTCATCTTATTCATCCCCCAAGGGCCAGACAAAGCTTTGTGGTCTAAATATCTCAAAGTCTTTTACTACAGAGTGAGTTCAATGTTGGTGGTGTCGTGTCTGTCACTAGAGAACAAGTTAGCCATGAAGCTTTTGGCATCAGCTCACACAAAAGCTTTGGACCTGAAACCGGTTTTATGCAAATAGGGGATGTGGGGTGTGGAGAAGTTTTGGGCAAAGCGCCCAGATTATCTTCCATACTCCTCTTAAGAAAATTTTTTTTAAGGAAAGAAAGAAAAAAAATGTTATGAGATTCTTAACTTCATTCTACTCAGTTGCCAGAAATAGGCAGAAAGGACTTGACTCAAAAGCTCAAGTAAAGATTAACAGCACCTGGAATAGTAAGTTTGAGAAAATGTGAAAGAACTAGGAAAGTCTGAGAAAAGAGAATTTTTCACCACTCATTGATGTCAGGCAAGCCATAGTTTGGAGATGGCTCAGGAATGATGTTTAAGATGATAACAACACAAGCTAACATTTATATAGCACTTACTGTGTGCCTGGCACTGTGCAGTGTTTCACAGAATTATCTCATTTGATCCTTACAGTGACCCTATGAGGTAGGTGCTATTATTATCCCTATTTTACAGTTGAGGAAACTGAGGCAGTTGATGAGGAAATGATAAGACCAAACTAAGGTGGTGGCCTGGTAAATTTAGAGCAAGGGACATAAGTATTGGAATGGTGGAGTCAGTAGTACTTAGTACCAGATTGTGCGGGAATGCTAATATAGGAATGCTGAGGAAGACTCCAGCGTGGCTGACCTGGCTGACTGGAAGGACATGTTGAATTTGGCTTGTCTGTGAGACATCCAGTGAGAGAGATCAAATTGGCAGCTAGTGGTGCTGATCCAAATTTCAGGAGGAGACTGT